TATAAGAGAGTAGACAGCACTATGGCTCTGTAAACACTGATCTTGGTACTTTTCTTCAAGTGTTTATTTTGCCAAACTCTTTTATAAAGCTTTCCAAAGGCACTATATGCCTTTGCTAACCTGTTGTCTATCTCTCCATCATTGGCTTTCAGGTAGAATTCCTTCTGCTATAGCAGGTATTAGTCTGTTCAAGAGTATTCTTGCCAGGATTTTGCCAACAATGGAGAGCAGAGTAATACCACGGTAATTTGAACAGTCTGATTTAATTCCTTTCTTCTCATACAGGGTGATGATGACTGCATCACGAAGGTCTGATGGTAGTTTGCCTAGTTCCCAATAGCGCACCACAAACTCGTGAAATTTAGCATGGAGTGCAAGGCCCCCATGTTTCCAGACTTCAGGTGGAATTCCATCAACCCGAGCTGCCTTGCCAATTTTCACCTGCTGTATGGCCTTGAGGGTTTCTCCTAAAGTGGGGGCAGTATCCAATTCATACTTCACCGGTTGTTGTGTGATGGACTGAATAGCTGAGTCTTGGACTACATGGTTAGTACTGAAAAGAGTCTGAAAGTGTTCAGACCATCGATTCAGAATGGAGGTTTTATCTTTAGAAGCATTTGACCATCAGCGCTGAGTAGAGGGCTTTGGACTTGGTATGTAGGCCCGTATGCTGTTTTCAGGGCTTCATAGAATCCTTTGTGATCACCCATATCTGTGCATAATTGTGTTTTTTCAGCTAGATTGTTCCACCACTTGTTCTGGGTGTCACGGACTTTCTGTTGGACCTTGCTGCATGCAAGACGAAAGACTGTTTTTCTTGCGTGACAGGATGGCAGTGCAAGGTGTGCTTGGTGGGCGGTTCTCTTCTTCCTCAATAATTCCTGGATCTCTTGATTGTTTTCATCAAACGAGTCCTTGTTCTTCTTGAGGGAGAACCCTAAGGATTCTTCAGAGGACTACAGGATGCTTTTTTTAATATGGTATCAAAATGTTTCAGGAGAGGTATCTGTAGAATCTATGGAATGGTTTTTGAACCTAGTTTGAAGATTTGCCTGGAATTTGTTTCTCACTGTGGCTAATTGGAGATTGTTAACTTGACGTCTCCTCCTTGGGATAGTGCCCCTTTTTGGTCTGAATTTAAGATTGAAGTTAAGTTTACAGCACACAAGTTGATGGTCTGTTTGGTGTTCTGCACTAGGCATCATGCCGGTATGATGGACATCGCGGACATCTCTCCATCGCACCAAGACATAATCGATGAGGTGCCAATGTTTAGATCTAGGATGCATCCAGGTTGTCTTCAGGCTATTTTTCTGCTGAAAGATAGTATTAGTGATGGTGAACTGTTGCTCCGCACAGAATTCTGGCAGAAGTCGACCATTATCGTTGGAGCTTCCAACACCATACTTGCCTAATATTCCTTTCCAGGCTTCAAAATTCTTTCCTACTCTGGCGTTGAAATCATCAAGGATAATGATCTTATCATTTGCAGGAACCTTTAGCGTAGGGTGGCGCAGGTCCGTGTAAAATTTATCTTTTTCAACAGGGTCAGTTTGTAGAGTTGGAGCATGTATACTAAAGAGGACAACGTATTGCTTGTTGTTTAATGGAAGGCGTAAGGAGATAATGCGGTCAGAATGACCTGTCGGCAGATTTTTGATTTTAGGAACAATATAGTTTTTGATCATAAAGCCAACTCCTGAGAGATGCTTTTTGGTTCTGGGTTTACCAGACCAAAAGACTGTGTAACCGGCACCATGTTCTCTGAGGCTGCCTTCCTCGTGGAGACGAACTTCACTGAGAGCAGCAATGTCGATGTTGAGACGTGACAGTTCATGGGCAATTAGGGCAGAACGATGCTCAGGACATCCGCTATCCGCAGAATCAAGCATGGTTCTGATGTTCCAACATGTTAGAGTTAATTTGGGTGCACCTTTGGAAACAGGTGTATATGCCCTTGTCTTTTGATCTTTGTGTGACTGCATTTGTAGAAGATGACCATTTTGACCCTCTCCTGGCTTTGCAAATGTGGGTAAGGCCTTCAAGCCTGTGCAGTGGATTTTTTAGGTGCGATGCAGTATGCGCGGAACTGAATCCACCCTTTAATCCTAAGGTTCATCTGCCAGGGCCGAGCGAGCTTAGATGGTGGCAGCGAGGTCCTCAGGACGTAGGTTTAATTAGAGTGACCTTCTCTTAGATGGATGGCTCCATCTGCCCAGGTTTAGAGTTGTCCTTCTCCTCTGTATGCTACGAGGTTCCCCCTCTCATCTCCCACGAGGGCACAGTCCACACTGGCGAAGCTCCCCCTGTCTCACTCCTTTCCGCGCCCCGGGGCCAGGGACCACTGGGGCCCGCCCTGCGGGTGCCTGGGGGTGCGCACCCAGGGCGCCTGCTGGGGGGCCGCTGCCATGCACGCCCGGGGCACCCCAGTCAAAATGACACTTGAGCCCATCATTCAAATCACTTATAAAGATACTAAACATTGTTGGGCCCAATATTGATCTCTGGGGAACACAGGAATAGGATAGAGAAATAAGAACAAATCTAAAAAAATGTTCCGACCACCCCTCCCTTCTTCCTTGGCTCAGCTTTGCTCCCAGTTTTCTTAACCTCCTCCTCCCAAGTGGTGCAGTGGCATTGTCTCAGCCACTCCTTCCTCCTCAGTGGGAGGACTCCTCACACTCTTCCCCTGCTCCAGTGTGGGGTCCCTGCCATGGGAACAGTCTTCCATCAACTTCTTCAATGTGAATCCTTTCCATAGGCTGCAGTTCTTCATGAACTACTCCAGCGTGCACCCTTTCCGTGGGGTGCAGTCCTTCAGGAACAGACTGCTCCAGTGTGGGTATCCCACAGGGTCACAAGTCCTACTATAAAACCTGCTCCTTCCATGTGGGCTCCTGTCCATAGATTCACAGGATCGTGTTCCAGCACGGGCTCTCCATGGGGTCACAAACTCTGGCACCTCTGGCCATTCCAGCATGAGGTCTTCCATGGGCTACTGTGTGGACCTCCATGGACTGCAGAAGAACAGCTTGCTTCACCAAGCCTCACACAGTTGAACAGTATACACTAAGGGAACTGATGATGCCTGGCTGTGGTGATGGAATAAAATGTCATTTTATTTAATGATTGTATTGCAAAGGATCTGTTCCATAGGACCATGTTCACAATTTTAGGACCATTGCTACTTCTGACATTCTCACAATCTAGAAGCTGCTTTTCAACTATTTTTAATGATATTTTTTCATAGGTAATATAAAAGTTAAATCACAAGACAATGGAAATGATATTAAAAATACTAATTATTTCAAATCTCAAAATATAGTCATATATTGCATTTTTGTTGCAACAGATGGCTAAATAAATGTGTAGAAACTCACATTGATTAACCCATTCATGCATTCTGTTTCTGGATTCATAAGGAATTCAGACACAACTAGGATGAAAACTGCCAGGATGTGATAAGGAGGTGATCTAAGGTCTTAAAACCTGGGAGGACTGAGAAATGTCATTGAGGGAAATGTATGTGTAATGGTTTAGTACATAAATAAACTGATTACACTGCATGTAATTGAAATTGCTGGCAAAGAGAAGCAATTCTGATTGAAAAGAATAAAAATTACAAAATGCTTGTTTACTAACTTATTTAAAACCTGCTTAATAAATTTTTTATTTCTGTTTTGACTTATTTCAGTTATATATATATTGTTGTAATATGAATGTGTATTCTATGACTTGTGTCTCTAATTATTCACGGTGAGTTAATTTATTCCATTAATATCTCATTCACTAAGAAGAATGGTAAAACCTCGAGAGTGTTGATTTGGATAAATATCTAGCAGCACAGATGTTCACATAAATATTTTTGAGCTCCACATTTTAAAAATCTTATGAAATCAACATTTCTTTGATCCTTCAAATGGATCTAATCTGGTTTTTATTTCTCATTGAATCAACTGACCTGTGTCTGTGCATTTTTTGTTTTCTTTTAGGGAAAATAAAGGCAGCTTTTAAATGCAAAACTGATCATTTTATCTCGTTTATGAGTTTGTTGGGGGTTTGTTTGTTTGTTTTGGATAGTTTTTGGTTTGTGTTTTCTTCCTCCCCCTGAGCACAAAGCCTATTAAGCTGACTTTTTTAGTGGGCATATTTCAGGATGAACTCTTACATAAACAGAATGTGAGTGCTTTAATTTAATTTTTAAGTCATGGAGAAAAGTTAATACCTTCCAGTCTAAAGCCAATGTGACAGCTGAATATGAATATAAATATCTGTAAAAGACATTTAAGGATGTAAAAAATCTTAAATGGTTGCTTATTAAATGCCATAAACATTTTTATTCTAAAGAAGTTTAATAGTAACTTTAAGAAGTTTGCTTGGTCGTGTGCTAGAAGAACTTAAACTAGTTCAGAAATGCAACAGATTGTGGTAGTATCCGTATCTCTTAAAGGGCAAAATGAATTTCTGTTTTTGTAAAATAAGGATGTATGTGTAATGATATCAATTATTAGTTTAATTTACTAAGGATAATAAAAAGTGATATCTTCATTTATGAAATATGTATTTTAGAAAGATGAGATTTTTCTTCTATTTATATGAAAGAGTGTACTGGTTACAACCTATATGAAGAAAATTGCTTCTACCTCAGCCAAAACTAGAACAAAAATTTTCCTGAATGATCTTATAAAGGACAATAAAACAACACTGAGACACAGCATGGACTGCATTACTATTTTTAAAAGTTTCTTGCTGATAGATTTGAAATGCAAATATAATTTGAAATAGAAATCAAAGGTTTACTTTAAATCAACAAAACCCACCAAATTTTTTATAAATACGTAGGTAAAATAATATTGATGTGCTTAATACTAGATGAATGCATCCATTCTGTGTCCAGAGAAACTGATTTTCTATACATTCTCAGATAATCTTCATGTACTAAAATATATGAAAAACAGGTCTCTCATGTGCTCACTTATACTTACATCTTTCTTTTCCAGATGACACGAGAGCAGTATATATTAGCAACACAACAGAACAGCCTTCCAAGGACTGAGCAACCTCAGTTTTACCCAGTAGGGATTTATGGATGGCGAAAGAGGTGCTTATACTTCTTTGTCCTACTGCTGTTGGTTACCATGATTGTTAATTTAGCAATGACAATATGGATTTTGAAGGTTATGAATTTCACAGTGGTAAGTATTAAGTAACTTTATGTACCCCATTTCTTGAAGTACAAACTGCTAGTTTTATTTCTTTTTTTCCTTTATCATGTTATAGAGAAATCTTGTAATTTTTGGTGAAAAATCATATATACTTCGAGTGTTACTTCAGATATTTATATCTTTTGTGTATATTCTTCAGTGAGTGCACTGATGCCCTGTATTCAGATACTTTTGGTTAATCATATCTTCTGAAAATATATCTAGGTCTTAGATTTTTTTTTTATTTGCCCAACCAAAAATGTCATGATGACTGCCCCAAACATCTTTTGGTTGCTTGTCATCACTGAATAATAATCAGTAGGAGTTTACTATATCTGTTCTGTGTGGTATCTCTCCTAGGAGGAAACTGGGTTTTTCAGATCAACATATGGTGCCTTTTTTAGCTTTTGTTGTTCTTAGTATTTTTTTTAGAGTTTACTGACAATTTCGACTGTGTTTCACCTAGAACTTAGAGTAGCTGTTTTGGTGTTGATAGGGAAGTGGGTGGGTCTAAAAGTCACATGCTTTTCTGAGACAGTCTCTGTCTGGAATCTTTAATATCATCAAAGTGTTATCAAATCTGTATTTCAGATGTACACTTGAAAGAACATCTGTGTTTAGTGGAAACTGGTAGAAGTGCATACTAGTTGGCAGCAGAGTAGTGTCTTTTTGTATATCAAAATAAAAGATAGAACTCTCAACAGTTTAAAATAGTAGTGCTTCTGCTCCATTAGTTTATTGGAAATAAAAAAACAGCCAACAAAAGTAGCATAGAACATATGTATAAAATTGTCCTAAATCTGTTAATGCTCTGTAATGCATTGAGTTATCTGAGACTGTTGTCTGGTGAGATGTATTGTGCAAATACCTGTGGATGAATATGTTGGATTAATATTTTGACAACTGTATGACTTTAATATTCATGTGCTGAAGAGTCAGTGAGAAGATTTGTGAGGTTGCCTTTTTTGGAGGCAGGGGCTAGATTTGTTTTTTTGGTTCTATTTTTTCTTTTTTTATTTTTTTTTCATAATGCACTTTCAAAATAGGACATCCATATATATTTTTGTTTATTAATAATTGTTGATTTGTACAAGAAATATACTTCAGTGAAATGGTCTGCTACTATGCCAGAGGAGAATTGAGAATGGACATTTGAATAGGATAAGAAGATGTTTTACAAAGCACAGAATTTTTCTCTGTGCAGAAGGTTGTATTCCAATAGAATATTTGAAAGTACTGTTTCCATATCTAGGAAATGTTTGACCTTCCATGGTAGAAGCTATTATAGTACTATTCAGCTTAAAGCTCTTATAATTTGAATACAATGCAATACATGCTATTGAATGCAATACATGCTATTGCAATACATGCTACAAAAAATGCAATAACTTTGAAATATGTATTTTTTTTCCATGTATGTGTATATACGTATAGGTAGATATAAACCAAGAAATTTTATTTGTATAACTGGGCAGTGATAGGAAATCAGAAGTGCAGCTAGAAACCTAAAGAATATTTACTCAAAAGGGGAATCTAGCCATGATAAAATAATTGCTGAAATTGGACTGCTTTGACATTTTGACATTATTTTAAATTATTTCCTGTTTTGGCATATGCCAGTGTTGAGCTTTTTATAGAAACAATAGTAATTGCACCACTTCAAGGGGTTATGAAGAGCCAGGTCATAGTTTGTCATTGCTGGCTGTCAATTGCAACACTGTTAATTTATATTAGCTGTTGACTTTCTATTTTTAACTATAAAGCTGCAGCCACTGGCAATTTGGCATAATAAAAGCCTTTCTGAGATCAAGTTTCCAATTGGAAAAGTTTTCTGAATATACTGACCTTGCACATAAAAGTCACATTCTGAATCTGAGCTAGTTATACCATGCTCTTTTTATATGCAGAGGGGAGAAACAGGATTTTCTGTAAGACCATTCATCTCGTGGTAAGACAGAACTGAAGTGAATTGTTCTTAAGGACAGATGTTGAATAGCTTGTTAAAGTAATAAAAAAAGAAAATATAGTTTATTTACAATTGTGTAAAAACATAGTACAGGCAAGCTGACCAAGTTTCGTTTTATCAGATTATGTAGTATGACTAGGAAATGTAGAGAAACTTTCAGGGATACAATCTCTTCTTCCAATGTACCATGTCAGAAAGTTGAAAGGTAAATACAAGTTACAAATAATTGCCCTGATATAATATGTGTCAGATGAGCAAAACAGAAGGTAATGACAGAACCACAGAGTATGCTGAGTTGGAAGAGACCCACAAGGATCATCGAGTCCAACTCCTGGCCCTGCACAGGGCCATTCCCAAGAGTCACACCATGTACCTGAGAGTATCATCCAAATGCTTCTTGAACTCTGTCAGAATTGGTGCTGTGGCCACTTCCCTGGGGAGCCTGTTCCAGTACCCAACCACCCTCTGGGTGAAGAACCTTTTTCTAATACCCAATCTAAACCTCCCCTGACACAGCTTCAGGCCATTTCCTCAGGTTTCATCATTGGCCTCTGTGGAGAAGAGATCAGTGCCTGCTCCTCTTCTTCCCCTCATGAGGAAGCTGTAGACTGCAATGAGGTTTCCCCTCAGTCTCCTCTTTTCCAGGCTGAACAGACCAAGTGCCCTCAGCTGCTCCTCATATGGCTTCCCCTCAAGGCCCTTCACCATCTTCATTGCCTTCCTTTGGATGCTCTCCAATAGCTTCATATTTTTCTTACGTTGTGGTGCCCAAAATTCCACAATATTCAAGGTGAGGCCACCTCAGTATGGAGCAGAGCGGGACAATCACCTCCCTTGACCAGCTGCCTGTGCTTTGCCTGATGCACCCCAGGACATGGTTGGCCTTGCTGCCAGGGCACTGCTGAATCATGTTCGGCTTGCCAGGGACCAGGACCCCCAAGTCCCTTTCCGTGGCACTGCCTTCCAGCATCTCATTCTCCAGTCTGTATGAACATCCAGAGTTGCCCCATCCCAGGTGCAGAATCCCATGCTTTCCCTTGTTGAAATTCATATGGTTGGTGATTGCCCAGTCCTCTAATTTGTCAAGGTCTCTGCCTTTGAGGGAGTCAACAGCTCTTCCCAGTTTTGTGTTGTCTGCAAACTTGCTTAGTACCCTTTCCAATCCTATGTCCAGGTCATTTATGAAGATGTTGAAGATCACAGGGCCTAAAATGGAGCCCTGTGGAACCCCACTAGTGACAGGTCAGTAGTCCGATGTTACACCATGCACTATTACCCTCTGTGCTTAACCTGTGAGCCAATTGCTCACACACTGCATGATGAGTTTATCCAGCTGGGTGCTGGACATGAAGGATACTGTGAGAGACAAAACTGAAAGCTTTACTGAAATTCAAAGGTTACATCAACTGGCTTTCCTTGATCAATTAGGTGGGTTACCTTGTCATAGAAGGAAACCAGATTTGATAATCATGAAGCCTCATGAAGCCACACTGGCTGTAAATGATGCCTGCATTGTCTTTCTGGTGTTTTTCAATACCTCCCAGAATAATCTTCTCCATAACTTTACCAGGCACTGAAGTGACACTGACAGGCCTGTAGTTTCTGGGGTCCTCTTTCTTGCCCTTCTTGAAAACTGGGACAACATTTACCAGATTCCAGTCAGCTGGGACCTCTCCAGATTCCCCAGACTGCTCAAAAATCATCTAGAGGGGCTTTGTGCTGACTCCCATCAGACCCCATAGATTTGTAGAGATCCAGCTGGATTAACAGATCCCACATAATTTCAGGGCTGACTGAGAGTTGATCATTCTCACAGTCATGGTCCTCTAGCTGAGACCCCCTTGGTCTGTCATTGGTGTTGAAGACTGAGGCAAAGGTTAAACACCTCTGCCTTGTTTCTGTTCCTGTTTGTGAGGTGGTCATCCTCATCCTGTAATGGGCTGATGTTATTGTTACACTGCCTATTGCCATTAATATATTTGAAAAAACCTCTTTTTATTGTTCCCTGTATTTCTGGCAGTTTCAACTCCAGTTGAGCTTTAGCAGAAGGAATATTATCTAGAGGAATTGGAGACATAGTAATAATTTTTTGAAAGATATCCCCCCACTGGTAGCTCAGTGTTACTGTCCTTTAACGTGTACTCAAGATCTGGTACCTCACTGTTCAGTCATCTGTTTAGAAAGATACATGTGTGGCCAAGAAGGCCAATGGCATCTTGGCCTGTATCAAGAACAGTGTGGCCAGCAGGACACACCATACTATCCTGGTTTACATGGAAAGTAATAATTCATAATGCTGTATTAGAAGAAGATCTGACCTTGAACAAAATGGTCTACCCATAACTTAACCCAGAAATAATTCTTGACCTAAACTCATCATTGAAATAAAGCTCTTTATTGTTTTGCGAGCATCAAGTGGATCCACTCTGTTCTGAGTGGTAAGGATAAAATAATGTGACAGTCTCTTACATTGTTCCCTAATGGAACCATCAAAATCTCTGAATCACATGGTTGAACTTTAAACTTCACCTATTGTACGAAATGCTTTCCTGAAAAGTAAACAACTGCTGTCTTCAAGAATGAACACAACTTTCCTCGTGTCTCTTAAGCCTGATTTTTAAAGGAGATATGCAAAACATATTGGAGAAATCAAGACAGAAACTAAAATCTGTAACTTTTGTCAATATCAAAATAATAATCTTAGGAGGCTTGAATTTCATGGAACATTTATAATTTCCTTTTTTTTTACTAGCCTTGCCATGGTTCACAGGCTCCCCCGTGAAATGTGTGTCTTTCAATTTCCATCAGGATGTAATTACCTCTCACTTAGTCTATGTTATATGTGCTTAATGAAGCTCAAAGCTGTTAGTTACTTTTTTTTTGTGTCCACACAATTAGTATACTAGGGGTTTCAGGACACTCAAGTCATAACTCAGTGACATAACGTAGCGTAAAATATGGACATTTTGTATGTTTATAACATCCTGATTGTTTCACATATGTAATACATATCAAATTTAAAGGC